ATATATCTGTCAGAGAAATTAACTTGGGTAAAAATACCAGACCTTTTGTAAGATTTAAGGTTGAGCAGTAACAAAAAAAAAGTTATATTTTTCGTGTCAGTACTTCAAACTTGGATTTATTAGTGAAAGCAGACTTTACAACTAACACCATGGTCATGCATATGGACTCTATTTGCAGACTTATCCTAAAGTCTGTGGTGGGGATGCATACCTGAACGATCCTGTTTTCAATTTCGGAGCTAACATTGTTAATGGAAACTAAACATTTAAGCTTTAAAACATGCCTTTTGGTTTTTCTCAATAGTGTTGATATTAATAAAATAAATATATATTAATTTAACATTATTTACTGATGAAATTTATTAAGCTCATCATGAAAGCAAACAACACAACACAACAACCTCTTTTGTTAGCTATGCATTTTTGTATACCGTATTTTCCGCCATACATGTCACACCATCCTATAAGTCGCATCAGTCCAAAAATGTCTAATAAAGTGGAAAAATCCATAAATACGTTGCTTCGTCATATATGTTGCATCTATTATGCATCACCGCTGACAACCCAGAAATGTGGGTCGGTGTTGTGCCAAAAATCGATTTGGCTGTCAAATGGCAGCCAAGGGAGCATGCATGGGAGGACTTTAACAAGAATTTAACAAGATTAACACTTAAAAACAATTGTTTGTTTGCTCAAAATTATAGTAAAGGTGTGTCTTAATTGGACTTTTACTTAATAAATGCACTTCAATAGTCAAATCAGCTGTATTTCAAAAGTATTCTCTGCCTCGGTGCTCGGGGAGCACGCAGACAGGGAGGAAATCATGAAGGAGGAACACTGCACATTTCTTCGAAATTTAACAAGATAAGCACCTAAAACAATTATTTGTTCACTCGACTTTATAGTAAAGGTGTGTCTCAGTTGAACTTTTACTTAATAAATGCACTTCAATGGTCAAACTAACTGAATTTCACCAGGGCGGCACAGCAAAATGAAGCAGATTTGATGGTTGCTCCAGGTGAGCTGGACAAAAGTGGCAATTGTGGCAAGCTGATTGCATCATTAATAGCCACTTTTACCTATTACATGATACAACGGCATGCCATATAATTTGAGTGCCATCTAGCAGCTGAAAATGGAAGTGTTCAATATTTTCAGTCAGAATGAATGAAAACGGTCATATCTCTGTCAAAAATTGGTTTATAAATATGGGAAAAATAATTCATAAATAATTTGCTTTGGGGTATAAGTCGCAGGGCACGCAAATTATGCCAAAAAACGTGATTTATAGGCCAAAAAATATGATATTTGGTTGGAGTGTAAATAGATACTTCCAAAAATGGTTTTACACCACATTTATGGTTTAGTTTCTGTCAGTTCTTACCTGTGCATTTTCATGGACATAAAATAAAGCAAAAGATTAAAAGAAAGAGATTTTAAAAAATTAAAATAACTGAACAGTATTTTTTATCTAGAAATAAAAATGTGGCTGATTGCTTTAGAGAAACGGCAGTGGTGCCTCCAGAATTTTTAATGGGGTGGCCATGTGGGTGCCACACAAAATCCTGGGTTGGCACATCCAAACCAGAAGGCATAAAATGATTGAATAAATTCTAACATGCTTTTGTAAAAAAGGGATCACAACAGTCCAGTTTTAATGTGTTCTCTTTATAGATGCATGTAATCCCAAAAATGTTTACTTTAAGCGTTTTGTCTTTTTCCTTAAAATGGTCAAATGTACGTCTTTAATTTGAAGGGTACATTGAACAAAACATTTACGAGAAACAATCTTTCTCAAGTTTAATGTCACTTTTTTTCAAATTATATAAAAAAAACCCACATTTATTTGCTTGTTACTATGTACTTTTGTGAACAAAAATGGGATTTTTCAAATGTCCAAAACTGAGAAGAAAAAAAAAAAAAAACAAGAACTTTGCATATTTTACTCTAACATTACTCCAAACTATTTCTTTATTTGCTTTTTCAGGCCACAATAGTTTTACAAAAAAACACAGTCACTACTCAGCTCACTGAAGCTGGTCCTTTCCCAAATATCTATGAACATAAAAAATATTATTTTGCTTAAAAGCCCCTGTGACCCTGCATCCTAATGTTGAGGACATTCATTGTAGTCCTGTGTCCTTTTTCAGTGAGACCAGATTTTAAGTTATTCTTTATGTAAATATAACATGTTTATATTTTGAACTCCTAATTGCTCTTTATGCTTTTCTATCGTACAAGTCAGGTCCTCTGGATGGATTCTTCTTTGTTGAAACATTTTGTTTTTAATCCAAAAGACTTCTTCAGTCTGAGGAGCTGCAAGAAACAGCTCCTCCTTGAAGCAGACTGAAGAAGTCTTTTGGATTAAAGAGAAAATGTTTCAACAAATAACCTGTCCAGAGGACCTGACTTAACCTTGTTAGAAACTAATTTTTAATAATTAACAGACTCATCAAATTGTTTAAACTCATAACAGGTTTTACTGGTTTGTAGGAAAAAAAAAAAAAAAAAACATCCCCAGAGACATAATAAACCAGTGACATAATATTAAGCATGGAATTCTAACAGTGACATTTATAAGTAACCAGTACGCCATCTGGGATCAACTTTACGGTGGAAACTTTTTTTTTTCATCCACTCACTCTGTTTCTTACACTGAACAGAGCAGAGAGACTGGAAGCAGTTTAGCTCCAGAGCAGGGATACAGTTTGTGTGGAACTGAGCCCAATTACAGCTAAAGTCCTGTCATGTCACCTCGGGCTTCTTTTCTTTCCAGACAGGTTCGAGTCTCAAACCAGTTTTTTTTTCTGTGTCCCACAGGTCACCAATGCCTAACAAGATAAACTGAGATACATCTTCCCACTTTAGCGTGTCCTCAGCTTCTATCATAAAAAGCATCTACAGCACATAGTTCTTTGTAGATATTTTTACACCAGAACAGTAATTCTTCACGTTAGGGTCGGAGCCTCACTCTGGGCTGTAAAACCACATTTTTGGCTTCTTTCCAGAAATCAAAATTGGAAATTTGTTTTAATATATTTTACTATAATGGTTACACAAAATAAAAAAAATAAAATAAAAGAAAAACTATGTTGGGGACAGCTGTGGAGCAGATAGGACAGCTGATTTGAGACTAGAAAGTTGCAGGTTCAACTCCCTACCATGTCCACATGCTGTGGTGCCCTTGAGCAAGACATCTAACCTCTAACTGCTCCCCAGGTATTTTCACAGATGCCTGCTGCTTCACATGGGCGTGTCTCACGCATGATACATTTTGTGTTTGTGTACAGTGATGATGAGACGTAGCACTTCCATGTTCACAGTTTTTTTTTTTTTTTTTTTTTTTTTTTCCAATAGGATAGAAAGAAAGAAAAGACAAAGTAAGACTCCAAAATATAAGAAATATATACAAATAGAGCACACGTCAAAACACCCGGCCACTGTCTGTTCACCTGCAAAGAACATGACAAAACATAGCAACAAAATACATATGTATAAAGAACTTAAAATATTCATGGCTTTGCAGTAAGTTTCCATAAATATATATACCCATACCTACGCCTATATACATACATACATACATACACATGAATATACACTCACATACATATCTATATATCTACATATAAAGCCTAAATAAGCATCCCTGCTTCTATTTGTGTGTGGTTGTGAGCATGCATAAGTGTATAAGGCTTCTCTAATAGAACATTTATTAGTAACTGTGAAGCAGCAGAGACCCGACCCCCAAGACCAGAGGCAGATGAAAAAGGGGGGACCAGAGTCCAAGACCCCAGGAGGGACCCCGACCGCGGAGCCCCCAGAGCCACCCACACAGGACGAACCACTCACCCACCCCCCAGAACGGACCACAGGGGAGAACCGGAAGATCCCCACCAGCAACCACATACAGTGACCCCCCGGGGCCAACAGCGACAAACTCATAGGCCCCCGTCGGCACCCGCCGCACCGATGTAGGTCCAGGTCCAGGCACCGAGGCCCGGGCACCGAGGACTCACACCACCCAGGCCAAGGCCTGACAGGGCCAGAGGACCCGAGCCCCACCAGGCAGACACCAGGCCGAGCCGACACACGCCCAAGCGCCCAGCCCCCGATACCAAGGGCCCCAAGCGCGCCGGCAGGCAAGGGCACACCCCACCAGGGGGCCGCGCGATAGGGGCGCGATGCCAAGCACCCCCAGTTGTATCAAAGAGGGGGGCAGTCCGAGTCTTGGCCTAACAAATATCCATTCATACACAGACACAATCACACTATCCCAACCTCAATCTCACATTCATTCACTCAAAGACATACAATAACGATACATTTCATTCTTATTCCCGATACACACTCTAAACCCCCCAGGTCCAAGACATGTACCCGCCCTCTACAGGGGGCAGCCCATGCCCAAACCCAGGAGGTAAACCCATTCATTCCTGAGCGGAGAAGAGCCAATACCCCAGAACCGGCCCAGGCCATGCCCCGCCGACAGGACACCCCCCCCACCATGAAGAGGACACGCCACCAACCACCCCCACACACCGTCAACAACCAAACACGCACCCCCAGCCGACCGCCTGCCAGGCCCCGGCAGCCACCCCGGTCAGCGGGCCAACCATGGCACCCAAGAGCCAAGCTCAGGGGGTCCAAACAACCCCAGGGAGAGCACAGCGCCAGCACCGCCCACGGCAACCCCCAGACCCCGAACCCCCACATAGTCCTGGTCAACACCCGACGGCCTGCCCTTCTCCCGGACCCCACCCCCGGAATGGCAGTCAGGGAACTAGGTGGGTAGGAAGAGGAGAAAAAAAAAATAAATAAATAAAAATAAGACCCCGACACATACACCCCCACCCCTAGATGTGCTGTTGATGTGTGTTGTTGTAGAGTGCCATTAAAAAGGAAAGAAGAAGGAGCAAAGGCTGACAAGGTGCCAGTTTCCCCTCCACCCCAACTCTATCCAAACCCTAGTGTCTAAATGTAACCGTTGTAAGTGAGCACAGGCACAGGAGGTGAGAGTAAGGTCATCCCACCACCCATAGCCATGTGCCCACTTCAAATTCCTATATATGAATGTCATGAGGATGTTATGAATGAATGTCTAAGGTGTACAATAAAATTGAGTCCCAGGTGGCTATGGTCAACAAAGATGTAAAATTGTTGCAGCACACCCGAGCCCAAACAACCCTAAATGTGTGGAATTGAAATGAAGAGGGTGGAGGTGCATGGTGAGGGATGGGGAGAAATAACTGTGAGAGCAAATGCTCCCACAGGGAGTCAGCTCCCCCACTGACCCAACAGCCCCCCCCCCCCCCAGCCCCCCAAGGTCCACCCAGGGATTGAGGCCAAGACACCTCTCCATCTGGACCGACCGCCAGGCCCGCTGAGCTCCAGACCAGAGAGGGACAGAGCCCCGAGGGCCGCCATAAGCCGCTCCAGCAGCCTACACACCCGAGGGCCACCAGGACCCCCACAGACCGCAGTCAGCCCGCTACCAGATGGAGCCAAACCCCACCAGGACGACCCGGCCAAGAGCGCCCGCCCAACCGCCGACAGTGCCAGGAAGCACCGGGAGCGAGCCCCCACCACAGGAAAGGGGCCAGCCAGCCAGCCATGCACAGTCCCGGGCCGCCCCCAAGGACATCCACCCCATCCCCACCCCAGAAGAAATACTACACCCACCCCTCATTCGGACATCTCTCAAAACACATAGCACACTAGACACCTAGGCTGGGTCAAACTACCCCCTCTTAGGGGCCACTGGTCACGCCCCCAAACACCCAATCCCCCAGCCCATGAACCCACAACCCACCAGCGAGCCGAAGGCCCCCGCCCAGAACCGGGCACCAGAGCGCAAGCCGGCCCAGAGCCCGGCAACCCGCCCGCCAGAGCCCAAGATCCCCGAACCCCACAGGCCCAAGTTCACAGTTTGACACAGAGCTGCAACATTTCCTTCTAGAATTGCGCCGCTCGGGGTGGCTATATGATGGAGCAGCTCTGTTATATTCGTTCTGCCATTTTGCTTTTGGAAACTTTAATTCCTCTTTTGCTGGATGTAAATCACATTTTTCTGGAGGATTATTTCCTCTGGTATCGGCCGCTGTGCAGCTGGAAGGATTTTTACTGAAACTTTTTTTTTAGTTTTGGATATTTGTTATGATGCGTAACCAGAACAACAAGGTGTTTTTTTTTTTTTTTACAACCAGGAGCAGCTGATTAACATCTCAAATAATACTTCAGTTACAGACTCAAATCTCAAATGAGCTGAAAAGGAGGTGCCGTAGATGCATTCCCGTCTCACTGCTGGCTGTGCTCGAGTGCCTGACTGCTGAAATCCTGGAACTGGCAGGAAGCACGACTCGTGACAGCAGGACTGGGATCATGCCCTGGTACCTGTAGCTGGCTGTGCGCAGCAAGGGGTAGCTCGGCAGGCTGCTGGGAGGAGTGGCCATCCCTTTAGGAGGAGTTCTGCCCAGCATTTGGGCGATCCTGCAGCTCATGCTAACCGAGAGGCCTGGACGGATCGGACAGCATCTGTGGCCAGTTTCTTCGTTTCTGCTGTGGGACGGACCTTTACAAGAGATCCTTCCTGCCCGCAGCCATCAGCATCTATAACATCTCTTATTGAAACGAGAATAATGAGTTACAACAACATTTAATTTCCGGTTGGGATTAATAAAAGTATTTTTGAATTTCAAGTGAATTGAATTGAAGATTGAACAGCTAGTTAGCACTGTTGACACTGGACTGGTCTTGTCAAAACCGGTTGATGAGGGCTGTCAAAGTCCAAACGCTCCAGTGTCCGTCAAACTGTCTCACTCACTGTTAGAGAAAAAATGTGTGGTTGGTGGTGATCTGACATGTAGCTCCTGCCCCTTTGTCTACTCTCAGCAAGTAGGTTGCAGGTTTAACTCCCAGCTTATTTCTCTGCATGTGTGAGTTTTTTCTGGCTACTCAATTTCTTCCCACACACTAAAAACATGCACATTAAGTTAACTGGCCGCTCTAAACTATAAGTCAATATGAGTGAGAATGTGAATGGGTGTTTGCTTCTTTGTGGTTTATTTTTTTCTTGAAAATTAGAAGAAAAACATTTTTTAACACTTGTCAGAGCTGAATGTAACACCGTGCTGTTGTGAGATTTTCCACCAAACTGTGGTTTTCTGTTCATAGTTTTCTCACTGTCATAAGCAAAACTGTGGGCTCCTTGTCTGGACGACAAGCTATGCAGTTCCGTCGACAACCGGATTGATATGGACTTCAGGCTATACTGACACCTGTCATCGGGCACACTGAATGCTGTGTTCAGTGTCAGTGTTGTCACTCGTATAAAGCTGTGCTTTCCTGTCGCTAGCTGACAAATCCAACCTTTTATGGACAAACCTGGAATTATTCTCTCAGGGAAATGATTCTGAAGTCTTGGTTGCATACAAATACCCACACGGACGTCCGATTGAAAAAAAAAAAAAAAGGCTCATAATAAAGCTCCAATAGGTTTTGAAATCTATGTATTTCTTTGTTTTTTGGAAAAAAAAAACAATGCACCCAACTATTTTTTTTCTCCCCCACTTGTTTTGACCCCTCCTCCCCCCCCCCCCCCCCTTTATTTTGTATTATTTTCCTTTGGTGGAGTTAATAACCAAACCAACCAATACATTCTTGTTTTCCCACTGAGGCCTTTTTGTTGTTTTCTGCTCCCCCCATCATCCTCACATAAGCAGTTGCACAACTGTTTGACTTCAGGTTTTCATAACTCTGAGCTATAACTCAAATCAGACCTAGAGAAAACAAACCAGATCGACTGCGTGTGCTGTTGTCTTTGTGTGTGTCAACAGAGGCTATGGCATGGAAAGGTGGATTAAACTCACATCTGTCTTACTCTGCTTCCCATCTCTCTTTAATCCCCTGCCCACTGTGTTTTTAAGGAAGCACATGCTTTCGTTAGTGCAGAAAGACTGGAGGATGTGACAGAAGAGAAGATAAGAGCTGAGCTCAGCAAAGCCCAAACCCATGCTCCTTCACAGTGGGTGAGGAGGAGCTCTCGGTCTGCAGACAAGGAGGAAATAGTGGTGAGTCTGCTGCACTACCTGATCTGTCCAGTAGATGGCGACAAAGACTTTAAATTACAGAAAAAGCAGTTTGAAGACATTCCTAAAGTTAACTTTTCCTTCTGTTTTGTTTAGGAATAATTATTGAAGATATGTATCTTCACACAGATTTTAAGCATGAAACCATGAGTTTGTAACATTTTCTTCTTCTTCAAGGGAACGAACTACAGAAAAACTAATGCTGCAATGGAAATGAGATTTATAAACAGGGACTCGTTTTGGGCATGTGCAGAGGTAAGTCAAAATACTTTATATATATATATATATATATATATATATATATATATATATATATAT